TCAGCTATCATCTCACAACTGTAGGGATGACAATCATCCCAGAGACAGACACCAGGTGTGGTCAAGGGTGTGTAGACAAGGGGACCCTGTGCACTGTTGGTGGGAATGTAAACTGGTGCAGCCACTGTGACAAACAGTATGGAGTTTCCTGAAAAAATAAATACAACTATCACATGACCCAGGAATGGCTCTACTGAGTGGATTTCTTTGGAGAACACAAAAACACTACCTCGAAAAGACAGATGCATGTTCACTGCAGCATTATTCACAGTAACCAGACATCGAAACAGAGACCTTGGGAGCATTCTGCTAAGTAACTCAGACACAGAAAGACAAATACCAGGTGCTGTCATGGACATTCCACACGGAAACAAAAATACTGAATGCATAGATACTGAGAACAGATGGGTGGTTGCCAGGTTCGGGGATGGGGGGGCACGTGGGAAGGTGGTCAAAGGCACATGTTTGAGTGATAAAATGCGTAAGTCATGGAACGTTTTCTGCAGCATGGAGACTAAAGCTAACCCTGCAGGATGGGGTACAGGTCCCCCCGCTATTTGGAAGTACAGTGTTCCTAGGAAACCTTTCACAGCAGAAATGGTGTAAACCAAAGGAGGAATTACCATTCATTTATACAGAAAAAATAGTGAGCGTGCTCACACTCCAAAAATGACTTCTCTTTGGCTTTTCCTAGGCCTCAGGGCACAACTTCCTAAGGGATGCCCAAAATAAATGGAGATGAAACACAGCAGATGCTCACAGACACGATTCAAAGTGCTGAGGGCTGGACGCAGAGAGCGGTTCCCAGGAAGGAGCTGGTTGGGGTGCAGGCTGCCTCTGCAGTGGCTCCCTGCAAAACAGATGCTGAACGCGAGGCTCACTTTTCGACTTCTTTCATAAGAGGGAAATCCTCTTCAGGTTTCTTCCTGTTACTGAAGCCGAGTAATGACGTAGATCTTTCAAAAAACCCAAATGTCTTACCATGAACTTTTAAAAAGTGGGGGATACTTGTACTTGAAAGTTGCTGCGGGAGGAGATGTTAAATGTTCTCCCGGACACACGCATCAGCAGATCCACAGTGAGAGGCACCTTCCTCAGCATGGGGAACACGGACTACCTCCTACCCCCAGAAACCTCCTCCTTCCCCTTCCTCAGGACAACAAACCACAGCTGGGAGTTACCCCAATTCCTCCTTTCTGCCACTCCCAATATCTAATCCATTGGCAAATCCTGTGAGCTCCATCTTCAAAATGTACTCAGAATAGGACTAACCACTTCTTCCGAGACCACCTGTCTGGCCCACACTGGAGCCCATCTCTTGCCTGAATTCCTGGAAAAGCTTCATCATGGACCTCCCTTGCCCATCCTCAACCCTCTGTCACCTGTTCTCAGCACTGTAGCCAGGAAGGCCCAGTGAAACAGGGTCCCATGGGGTCACAGCCCTGCAGTGACTTTCTGTCTCCCTCTGTCCCCTCCCTGAGGCCGTGTCCTAAGCTGTCTCCTGTGGCCACAGGGCCTTCTTGCTGCTCCTGGACATACCTGGTATGCTCCTGCCCCGGGGCCTTTGCACACACTTTCCCTTCCGTTTAGAATGCGCTTGATGTGATATCACTCACCTTCTTTAGATCTTGACTCAAGGATCACCTTCCTAGTGAAGTCCCACCTGGCCCCTACGTGAATGGCAAGCACCACCCCCACCTCCCCTTCAGCATGCCAGCCCTGTCTCCTGCTCTATATTTCCACATATAGAACTTATCACAGTCACCAGTCCATCTCGGCAGGGCAGAAACGGAGGCCTACACGGATGGTTTCACCACGGACTACCTCCGATTTCCTGGTCCAAAGCCCCGGGGAAAAGGTGCCCCAGAGCTCTTGCACAGCCAGGATGCCCGGGACAAGGGGGTCCACCTACTGCACCCTGAACACCATCAGGAAAATGAGCCGTACAAGGACTCCACCTGCCCATGAGACCTGAAACCAGACACTTTCCTCGATTACAGGTGAGCACACACACGTCCTCTCCTTGCCTGAGGTGCTCATCTGAGAAAGCTGAGCAGAGACCCATCCCAGGACCCAAATCTCCCTTTGCCCAAGGTCCTGGGAAACAAACATCTCTCCTCCCTGCACCAACCACCTGTGATTGAAGTCCGGAATCCTCCTGTGGTCAAGCAGAGTGGTGCACCTGTCCCTCTTTCCTGTGATGTCATCACAAACCAAGCTTTGCTGCACAGGACATCTGCTGTGCCTCCTCTGAGGAAGCAGGGGGCACACTGCACAAGAATCGATAATGCTGCAAGTGAGCTGCTTCCCACCAACCACCCTGCTGAGCCAAGGGCTCGAGAACCAAACAGGAAGCAACTCTCTTATCACATCTGCAGCAGGAGGGCTGGCCAGGGAGGAGAGCCCAGTCCCTATCCCTGGAGCAAGCTGGCCTGCCCATCGTGAGCGATGGTCCACCACCACGGCGTCGCAACCTCCCACCTATCTGATCCGACTACCCTGCCAGGCTCAGACCTGCTCACACAGAGAGTCATAAGACCCAGCGATTTCTTTCCACTCCAGCTCAATGCTTCTCACGGAGAAGCAAACTCCAGCCTCACATATGTGCTCATCGTTACCTCTGGAATTCCCTGGGTGGTGTCTACACTGGCCCACACAGCTGTCCCATCCAGGCCACTCCACAAATGCCCTAGGGTTTCAAGCCACTTCCAAGCTGCCCTTAGAAAGGCAGGAACTGGCCCGATGAGGCACACCAGCCAAGTGACTCCATGTGCTAGAAGCTCGGACAACATCTTCGCTGAACACCAACGCTTCCGAGTCCGAGCTTCAAACATTCGCTCACTGGGCACTGAGCACCATGTCAACATCAACACTGCTCTTTCAATTCACTTGTCTCCCATTCCTTAAAGTTGGAAACCAAGCTCCAGTCACCGCTCTAGTTTCCCTTCAGAGAAATAAGGTAAATGAGAGAATAAAACACTATGTGTGCACAGCACACTTCTATCAAAATATAACTCCTTCGTCTTTCTCATACGGGCAGCCCTACATGACCCATACGAATGAGACATGCCACGAGTTGAGTCATTATATATATATTTGACCTTGTGTTTTTCCTTTTGATATTTGTATCTCGAAGTCAATGTCTATATTGCTCTCTTAAAATAATAATAATAATAATGACATGGTCACATAAGGGTCTGGATCTCCATAGCCACACACCCTGGCTCTGGTCCAGATAAGGAGGAAGACACAACCTCAGCCCAGGAAGCGAGGCCCACACCCTCAGGGATCCCGACACGCCTCACGGGTGATGGGTTCCTTTGCGACATGCAGTTGTCCGAGCACAAAGGATGCAGGCACCCTCCAGGATTCCTTGTTTTCTTCATAAATTCCCCAGCTCAAGTTGCAAGCGACTCACGGGGTCAAGCTTCCAGAGCCCAAGATGGGCCACCAGGTAAGCAGCCCCATTGGGAAGGCTAACAGGGGGCTCGATTTCCTTTGGGAGCACGACGAGACACTCCCCAAGCTCCTAAAGAACCTACACTTCTTCTCCATGTGTCCCTCTCACAAAGGGCACCGTACCCTGTTACAGATCTGCGGCTGTGTTTTACTTTAAAACATAATTTCTAATATCGGAATGTGGTACATGGAACAGGAAAACATGAACACTCACAAAGGATTCTTTTAATATCTTTGAAGATTGTTTTCCCATTGTTTAATTAAAATGGGAAATAAAAACACACAGATAGCCCCTTCCACTAGCAGGAATGATTCTCTTTGGTGATTGAAAAAAAAGCAGGATAAAAAAAAATTTTTTTTAAAAAGTTGCTAAATAAAAAATTTTTTTTTAATTTTAAAAAAAGAAAAAAGAGCAGGAAATGAAAGAGTAACAGATGTTCTGACGACCCGTCATTTCCATAATCAAAGTTTTGAAACTTCACACACAAAGAAAGAAGCTCAAACAAACGTCTCGGCCTGGCAACTCTGAGACGTCTGAACTGGACTAACAGGGACAGATGATGAGGTTGTGTGTGTTGGGTGAGCCTGGTAGCAAAGAAGAAGGTGCTCGGCCAGCTCTCCACCTGGGCCTCACCTGTCCTCAGCCAGGAACCTGCTCACGGCCCTCACCTGTCACAACTCTCACACAGGAGACCCACAGCCAGCCCTGGAGCCCGCCCTGCCCACACCCTCCTGCATAATGCACTCAGCTCTCCTCTGAGGCCCCTGTCAGCTTTACCCAGACCTGGAACTCCCCCATCTGCTGCAGAGCTCCAGGATTCCCCCTCTTCTTCCAAAATGACACTGGCCCAAAGGTAGAAGGCTACTTAATGAATGGTTCACACCTACTTTCCCCTTCTGTCGTATTTCTCTCCACTTACCTTCCTACCTGTGCAAACTGTAAGTAACATATCAATGGAATATGAACATGCTCTGAGATCGGATTCTTTCACTGCAACCTTCTGAGGACTCCTTGTATAATAAAATACCATATCCTATGACGGGGGGATTAAAACTATTATTTACAGAATAATTCAGCCCAAATCACCTCAATTTTAATGGCTCTTCATTAGGCAGAACAGTTTCTGTGGAAAAAGACTTTCCATAGAGGGGCGCCTGGGTGGCTCAGTCGTTAGGCGTCTGCCTTCGGCTCAGGTGGTGATCTTGGGGTCCTGGGATCGAGCCCCGCATCAGGCTCCCTGTTCAGTGGGGAGCCTGCTTCTCCCTCTCCCACCCCTCCCCCCGCTTGTGTTCCCACTTGCTATCTCTCTCTGTCAAATAAATAAAATGTTTAAAAAAAAAGACGTTCCATAGATATTACCTTCCACAAATTTCATAAGGAGTCAACGGAAGCTCTGTGGGATAACCTGACGCACCTAGGCTCAGGCAAGCAGTTCCAGAACTCAACCCAGTGCTCCTGACACCAGCATACCTCCATCCAGAATTCCCAAACACTCTCCTTCTGACTCCATCACCAAAGAAACTACAGAGAAAATACGGCATGTCAAAATATCTAGATGATACATTTAGAAAAACTAGAAACTCAGGCTCAACTTTTAAACAGTAAAAGCCTGCTTTGAATAATTTTGATTTTTCCCTTGACCCTAACTGTAATTCTTCTGATGAAAACACTAATCAATTATGAAACATCACCTTTGACAAATGACAAGACATCATCCGAATCTGTATCTGACAACAAAAAGCCACCTAACTCTAGATGCTGGCCGCTCAACCATATCCTAGGCCCAATTGAATAAACGCTATTAGATTGAGGAACAAAAGATATCTTAAAAACACACAAAGAGTAAATTTCACCTTCCCTTTCTAATAAAAGTTACTTCTAGGAAACAGATGATCAGAATATATTTTGTAAGCAATAAATGAACAGAGAAAATCGGATCCCCTGCAATGTTCTACCCGCAGGGAAAGTAACTCTTGAACCAAATGGAGAATGCTGAGAGCTACTTAAGTTTTACTTCGTAGCTCAACTAGAAAAAAGAGGAAAGCCCAGGAGGTTTGGGGTTAATCAGAAGTTTTACCTCCAGTCCTGACTTGAAGATGACATTGTGCCAAATGGACCTGCTGCTCTCTCTGAATGCTGACGTCCTGTGACAAGCAGCATCACTGACTCACATGCTGATGTTCAAAACTTCGGGTCTCATGGAGCCAGAGGGGAGAAGTGCTGTCAGGTGGGGATAAGTAGGACCTCCGACCTATGGCAAGCACACCTGCTTCGGTTTCTGGGAGAAGGGGAAACACATACTTGTTTTTTAAGTACTAATTATCTTCATTCTAAAGTAGACCAATGACTTTGACATTTTTGGAAACGCGAAATGACTCTTCCAAATCAACACCTCAACTCATCTGTTCCTCATGCAACTTGAGTAGGGTCTAGTTTACTCCAGCCTCCAGGCCCCCACCTGGAGGACCCTCCTGCACAATCCTGACAGCCCATTACCACCATACCCGGGGAACATGGGGCACAATGCTAAGTTGGAGGACGGCTCTGGGGCTTGTTACCGCCACACCTGTGCCTGGGGGAACAGGGGACACCCTGCTGAACTCGGGGTGCTACTCAAGGTCCATTACCTGCACTCTGCCAGGGGACAGGGGGCACCCCACTGAACTTGGGGACTGTGTGCGGTCCTTACGTGCACTCTTCCAGGGGAACACGGGAAACCCTGAAATGTCCGCAACCCATCCCAAAAAAGCTCGGGTGAGCGGAGCCCTGGAGTTCACGGGGCTGGGGGATATGGCCCGTTGAAGGACTTTCAACGATTAGGAAACTCATCTGAGTTCGCGGGATTAGCTCGCTCCCCGCCTCCTTCGAGGACCCAACTCCCACCCGAGGTGCACCCTACCCCCGGGACCCCACCCCGGCCCACAGCGTGGTCTCACCCAGCCGGGAACTCTACAGGTGAACTCTCTGGGAGCTGGCCTTCTGTCCCACCTCTGCATCCGGGGCCGCTCCGGGTCCTCCCTCAGAGAGGTAACTCCACCCCCACGCGGTGATTGGTCGGGGAGGGTGGTGCCCCGAGCCCATTGGATGCCGCGCCTGCCTCTACCGGCCAACCCGCCCTCAGGCCCGCGGCTCCCTACGACGGCAGGTGGTCCAGGAGGCCCGTCCTCACGCCAACACCTGCTTGGCGGCGCAGGCGTGGGCGGGGGCTATGGGAGGGGTCCGCCCCCCCACACACACCCGGCCCATTCCGCGGCCGCCTCTGGCTGCAGACCACCCCCAGAGCCCTGCCCCTTCCCTTCCTGCACCAACCCCTGCCTGCAGAGCTGTTCCCGGCTCCCGGCAAGATCAGCTGCGCTCGGACCTTCTGAGGCTTTGGGTTTTAGGAAATGCAATGGTTTCACGCATTTCCAAGGCAGTTTTAAACCCAAAAACTAATGATCTAAACGTGAAGAGCTTCGCCTTCTAGTCTCACCCATGGACTGGATAGTGCTTCTTGGACCTTCAAAGCATCCTTGTAGGATGAGCCCGTTTATGCTGGAATATATATACATATGCTTGGTTCTGCAGGGAAGCTCCAGGATGAAGAACAGCCGCCCTTCTCTGCTGTTGGAGTTGTGAACGAGGAACATTTATTTTTCACTTAAAAAGAAAACATATTGTTATTCTCGACACTGAATGAACAAACCCTTTTAAACACTTTAGAGAAAAAAGAAGAGAGTTTTATTCAAACCCAAGTCAGGACAGCTGCCTGGGAGACACAATCTTCACAAAAAAGGGAGTGCTCCGGGGAAGGAACATTTGAGGCAGGTTTATATATTTGTTCTGTGTTGATTTACATACAGAGTTACATATCATCATGAGGAAGAACATTCAAGAAAGTGACAGACTTTCTCTTATGTTTTCAGTTTGTACAAGTTGGTATGACTCTAATCTTATGGAAGCCAGAGAGGTTCTTTTGTTTTTCTTATCTTTATGTTTGCAATGGCATTTTGGGATTATCTTTTTCTTCTCAAACCAGATGTACAATATGTGCTTGGGACAGAAATAGGACCCATACTCTGAGGCTTGGCCCAGTCGTTTTGACCTTGGTAAAATGTTAAAGGATAGCTTCTCTGGGAGCCCAGGATCCAGGCCCACGGATGGTAAAAGATAAAAATTTCCATTATCATTAGAATTGCTACTAAAGGGAGGAACTTGAGACAAAAGTACCTTTAACAATAGTGCCAAAAAATCAAAATGATGCCTAGAGAAGTTCACCTGTCCCACGGTCAACACAGGTAACAGAGGTGTTCACGATGAGGTTGTGTGTGTTGGGTGAGGCTGGTGGCACAGAAGAAGGTGCTCGGCCAGCTCTCCACCCGGGCCTCACCTGTCCTCAGCCAGGAACCTGCTCACGGCCCTCACGTGTCACAACTCTCACACGGGAGACCCACAGCCAACCCTGGAGCCCGCCCTGCCCACACCCTCCTGCAGAATGCACTCAGCTCTCCTGTGGGACCCCTGTCAGCTTTACCCAGACCTGGAACTCCCCCATCTGCTGCAGAGCTCCACGATTCCCCCTCTTCTTCCAAAATGACACTGGCCCAAGGCTCTCATTAGAAAGGTGGAAGGCTACCTAATGAATGGTTCACACCTACTTTCTCCTTCTGTCTTATTTCTCTCCACTTACCTTCCCACCTGTGCAAACTGTAAGTAACATATCAATGGAACATGAACATGCTCTGAGATCTAAATCTTTCATCGCAGCCTTCCGAGGACTAGTGTATCCTAAAACAGGGTGTTTTAAAACTATCATCTACAGAATAGTACAGCCAAAATCACTACATTTTTACCTCACTCTTCATGAAGCAGAACATTGTCTTTCTCTTTTCTTCTTTTACTTAAATTCCAGTTAGTTAACATGCAGTGTAATATTCACTTCAGGTGTAGGATCTAGTGAATCCTCACCTGTATATAACACCTGATGTTCATCCCAACAAATGCCCTAATACCCATCACCCATATAACCCTTCTCCCCACACATCTGCCCTCCAGCAACCCTCAGTTTGTTCTCTACGGTTGAGTCTGTTTCCTCGTTTGCCTCTCCCCCACCCCATGTTCATCTGTTTTCTTTCTGAAATTTGATATGAGTGAAATCATAGAGTATTTGTCTTTCTCTGACTTACTGATTTTGCTTAGCTTACTATACTCTAGATCCACCCACATCCTTGCAAATGGTAAGATTTAATTCTTTTTGAAGCTGGGTCATATTCATCATATATATATGTACCCCACATCTTCTTTATCCATTCATCAGTGCATGGACTTTGGGATTCTCTGCATAGTCTGGCTATTGTTGATAATGCTGCTATAAATATCACAGTGCTTGTACCCTTCGAATCTGCATTTTTGTATCCTTTGGGTAAATACCTAATAGTGCAATTGCTAGATCATATGGTTGTTCAATTTTTAACTTTTTGAGGAACCTCCACACTGTTTTCCAGAGTGGCTGCACCAGCCTGCATTCCCACCAACAGGATGGGAGGGTTCCTCTTTAAGCAGAACATTATCTGCCAGCAATTTCATGAGGAGGCAACAGAAACTCTGTGGGATGACCTGACTGACCCAGTGTCAGGCAAGCAGTTCCAGAATTCACCCTGGGGCTCCTGACGCCAAGCCCCTCGAAGCCACCAGCATGCCTCTATCCAGGAGAATTCCCGAAGACTCTCCTTCTGACGCCACCACCAAAGAAACTACAGAGAAAATACAGCACCTCAAAATATCTAGATGATACATTTAGTAAAACTTGGAAGTCAAGCTCAACTTTAAAATGGTAAAGGCTACTTTGAATAATTTTGAATTTTCCCTCTATCCTAATTGTAACTCTTTTGATGGAAAGACTAATCAATTATGAACATCACCTTTGATAAATGACAAGACATCATCCAAGTCTGTATCCGACGACAAAAAGCCACCTAACTCCATATATTAGACACTAAACCAATATCCTAGGCCCAGCTGAATAAACACTGTTAGATTAAGGAACAAAGTAAATGTTAAAGAGGCACAAAGAGTAAATTTCATCTTCCCTTTCTAATAAGTTATTTCTAGGAAACAGATATTCAGAATACATTTTCTAAGCAATAAATGAACAGATAAAATGTTATACCCTGCAATGCTCTACCTGCAGGGAAATTAAGTAACTCTTGCACCAAATCCAGAAGGCTGACAGCTACTTAAGTTTTACTCTGTGGTTCAACTAGAGAAAAGAGAAAAGCTCAGGAGGTTTGGGGTTAATGAGAAGTTTTACCTCTAGCAAAAGTGAGTCCCTGACATGAAGATGACATTGTGCCAATTGTACCTGCTGCTTTCTCTGAACACTGTCGTCCTGTGACAAGCTGCATCACTGACTCACATGCTGATGTTCAAAACTTCGGGTCTCCTGGAGCCAGAGCAGAGAAATGCTGTCAGCTGGGGATAAGTAGGACTTCCCACCTATAGCCTGCACACCTGCTTCGGTTTCTGGGAGAAGGGGAAACACATACTTGTTTCTTAAGTAGTAATTATCTTCATTTTAAAGTAGACCAATGACTTTGTCTTTTTTGGAAAAGCAAAATTATTCTTCCAAATGAACGCCTCAACTCACCTGTTCCTCATGCAACTTGAGTGGGGTCTGGTTTACTCCAGCCTCCAGGCCTCCACCTGGAGGACCCTCCTGCACAATCCTGACAGCCCATTACCACTATCCCTGGGGGGACATAGGGCACAATGCTGAAGTTGGGGGACGGCTCTGGGGCTTGTACCGCCACACCTGTGCCTAGGGGAGCAGGAACCTGGAGAACCCTCCTGCACGAATCTGACATCCCATTACCACCATTCCTGGGCGGGGGGGGGCGGAATTCGGGGCACAATGCTGAAGTTGGGGGACGGCTCTGGGGCTTGTTGCCACCACACCTGTGCCTGGGGGAGCAGGAACCTGGAGGACCCTCCCAAATGATCCTGACGGACCATTACCACCATCCCCCTACGGACACGGAAGTTGGGGACTGTGTGCAGTCCTTACGTGCACTCTTCCCGGGGAACACGGGAAACCCTGAAATGTCTGCAACCCATCCCACAAAAGTTCGGGTGAACGGGCGCCCTGGAGTTCACGGGTCTAGGGGTACAGCCAGTTGACCAACATCGGCAGAAGAGACTTTCACGGGAAAAAGAAAACTCATCTGAGTCGCCACGCCCTTCGAGGACCCCGCCTCCCACCCAGGGTGCACCCTATCCCCAGGACCCCCACACCGGCCCACAGAGCGTACTCACCCAGCCGGGAACTCCACAGGTCCACTCTCTCAGAGCGCCTCTTCACCTGCCCCATCTCTGCATTCCGGGGCAGCTCCGGGTTACAGAGAGGTAGCTCCACCCCACAGAGAGGTAGCTCCGCCCCCATGCGGTGATTGGTCGGGAGGGTGGTGCCCCGAGCCCATTGGATGCTGCGCCTGCCTGTACTGGGCGACCCGCCCCTACTTCCGCGCTTCCCGGCGACTGCAGGTGGTCCAGGAGGCCCCTCCTCACGCCAACACCTGGCTTGGCGGCGCAGGCATGGGTGGGGTCGTGGGCAGGCCTCCCCTCCACGCCAGATATCCGGACCCTTCCGCGGACGCCTCTAGCTGCAGACCACCCCCAGAGCCCTGCCCCTTCCCTTTCTGCACCAACCTTGCCTGCAGAGCTGTTCCCGGCTCCCGGCAAGGTCAGCTGCACTCAGACCTTCCGAGGCTTGGGCTTTAGGAAATGCAATGGTTTCCCGCATTTCCAAGGCAATTTTAAGACCCAAAGTGGGAAGAGCTTCACCTTCTGGTCTCACCCATGGAGGGAATAGTGCTTCTTGGACCTTCAAAGCATCCTTCTAGGATGAGCCCGTTTGTGCTGGAATATATATACATACGCTTCGTTCTTCAGGGAAGCTCCAGGATGAAGAACAGCCGCCCTTCTGTGCTGTTGGAGTTGTGAACCAGGAACATTTATTTTTCACTTAAAAAGAAAACACATTGTTATTGTCGACACTGAATGTGCGAAACTTTTTAAATAGTTTAGAGAGAAAGGAAGAGAGTTTTATTCAAACCCAAGTCAGGACGGCGGCCTGGGAGACACAATCTTCACAAAGAAGGGAGTTCTCCGGGGAGGAACATTTGGGTCAGGTTTATATATTTGTTCTGTTTTGTTTTACATACAGAGTTATACATCATCATGAGGAAGAACATTCCAGAAAGTTACAGACTTCTTACGTTTTCAATGTGTGCAAGTTGGTATGACTTTAACCTTTTGGGAGCCAGAGAAGTTCTTTCGTTTTTCCTATCTTTATGTTTGCAATGGCTTTTCTTAAGTTATCTTTTTGTTCTTGAAGCAGATGTACAATATGTGCTTGGGCCAGAAATAGAGCCTATGTTTTGAGGTTTTGCCCAGTCATTTTGAGCTTGGTAAAATGTAGATGGACGTGCCATAGAACAAGGAGACCACTGTGATGTGGGACCCACATGTCCCAAACCTTTCCTCTGCCCTGCAGCTGACCTTCTTCTTAAGACAATCTGACTGTTGGAGAATGTCATTAATGCCACAGGTGTGAGGAGAATGATTACAGTGACAAAGAAGATCTCTGACTCATAAACAGTGGTGCCAACACAGGCAAGCCTGAGCAGCCAGGGGACCTTACAAAAAAAGTGATCTAGTTTATTTCTCCCACAAAGTGGTACAAGGATGATGAGCACTGTCTGCAATGAGGAGTTGGCAAAACCAAGGAACCAGGATGCAGAAGCCAGCAAGGCACAGAGATGGGGGTGCATCATCACTGTGCTGTGCAGGGGCCTGCAGATGGCTGTGTAGCGGTCAAATGCCAGGACCCCTAAGAGAATGCAGTCTGTGCCTCTCAACCTTAGGGAGAGGAACAGCTGAACTACACACCCACCAAAGGAGACAGACTTGTTGACTCCACTGAGCTGAACCAGGAGCTGCGGGACAGTGCTGGTCGTGTAACACAAGCCCAGAAAGCTTAGATTGGAGAGGGAAAAGTACATGGAGTCTGAAGACGTGGGTCCAGTTGGGAAAATGCAATGACAGTGGTGTTTCCCAGCAGAGTAAACATATAGAAGATCAGGGCGCCTGGGTGGCTCAGTTGGTTAAGCGACTGCCTTCGGCTCAGGTCATGGTCCTGGAGTCCCGGGATCGAGTCCCGCATCGGGCTCCCTGCTCAGCAGGGGGTCTGCTTCCCCCTCTGCCCTCTTCCCTCTCGTGCTCTCTGTCTCTCATTCTCTCTCTCTCAAAAATAAATAAATAAAATCTTCAAAAATATATATATATATATAGAAGATCAGAAAAACCACAAAGAGGACTAGCTCCAGTTGAGGCCGCTCAGAGAAACCCAGCAGGATAAACCCAGTGAAAGAGTGCCATTTTTCTGTTCCATCCTCTGTTAGCACATGTTTCCTGTCAAGACCAAGCATTTAGCTCCTTTCTCCTTTTTGCCACCATCCTGGTGTGTGTGGTTGACTGTTCCTCGCCATGTCTTCTCACAAGACTATCAGGATCAAGTGATTCCTGACCAAGAAACAAAAGCAGAATTGTCCCATTCCCCAGTGGATTTGGATGAAAACTGGTAATAAAATCAGGCACAACTCCAAGAGGAGGCACTGGAGAACCAGGGTTAGTCTATAAGGCATCGCACATCATGCGATGACACACCTAATTGGCACACATATTTAAGCTGCATGAAGATCACGTGTTCCTATCTTATCACTCTGTAAACATCCCTCCTACCTGGCCAATAGACATGTTTTATCAGGGAAATGATTTTTGTCTGTTACTGTGCCTCTACACCAGTAGGTGGGTTCAGTAATAAATGTGAGAACTTGGCCGAACAGCTGCTGTGTTCTGATTTGTGAAGTACTGAATTCCCCCTCATATCAGAGCTCACATATCACTGTCTCATAGAACTTTCTGCAGTGATAGAAATGTCCCTTGACAACCAAGTACTTAAAGTGTAGTTGGGGGTGCCTGGGTGGCTCAGTCGGTTAAGTGTTTGACTTCAACTCAGGTCATGATCTCGGGGTCCTGGGACCAGGCTCCTTGCTCCAGCGGTTGTCTGCTTGTCCCTGTCCCTCTGCCCCTCCCCCCGGCTCATGCTCTCTGTCTCTCTCAAACAAAATCTTGAAAAAAAAAACAACGAACATTTTGGGGCGACTGGGTGGCTCAGTCGTTAAGCGTTTGCCTTCGGCTCAGGTCATGATCCCAGAGTCCTGGGATCAAGCCCCACATCGGGCTCCCTGCTCAGCAGGAAGCCTGCTTCTCCCTCTCCCACTCTCCCCATTTGTGTTCCCTCTCTCACTGTGTCTCTCTCTGTCAAATAAATAAATAAAATCTTAAAAAAAAAAACAACAAGCATTTAGCAATTTATTTTCTAAAGATTTATTGATTTATTTTAGAGAGAGAGAGAGCACACAAGCAGGGGATGAGGCAGAAGCAGAGGGAGAGAATCTCAAGCAAGCTCTGACTCCCTGCTGAGCACCAAGCCCAACGTGGGGCTCAATCTCACCACCCAGAGATCACAACCTGAGCCGAGATGAAGAGTTGGACGCTTCACCGACTAAGCCAAGCAAGAGTCCCAAGCATTTAGCAATTTTTAAAAGAAATCTTAAAAAAAAAAAAAAAAAGGTGGGGCGGGTGGATTTATCGTAAGACATGGCCATGGGATCTCATCAGTAACTACTGAATAAATGATGTACTCATTGAAATTACATAGGTTATTACTAATTTAGTTCCACATTATCATAAAAAGGAAATCATTATGATTTAATATACAAAAAATCAAATAATGGACCTTGTGTTGGCATCAGTCATAGGTATAAAAGACCTTTCAGTCTGAGCTTAATAGGACTTAAAGTACTGTAAAAACATACATACATTTTAGAGAGAATGGGGATGAGGGAAAAAGAGGCAGAGCAATCAGAAAGAATCAGGAAGAGATGCAGACAGAGGGAGAGACTTTATTGTAAATATGTATCTCATGATTCTACACAACTGGATTTGCACATACCTCACATGCAATAAAACAGAATACAACATAATCTTGAAGAAAATACATTCAGAGATAGGAATTTATGACCTAGAATGTACTTATACAAAGAATTCAATTATGGGTAAAATATCACCACTAGTTCTTTATATAAACATTGTGTCAAAATTACCTCTAATGTATTTTTGAAAGCTACATGTTTGGTTTTTGTGTTTTTGTGTGGCAGTAAAACAATTAAATACTTGATCAGAGAGAACCTGAAAACAACACCATTCAATCACAGTGCTTAACTTTTGCCCAAAAGATGCTTAAAATTACCATACCAATTTATCAGGAACTCTGAAAATTCATTGGCCCTATACCCTCAGTTGGAATCAGAACTTTCAAATGCAGTGGCCAACACTTTCCTCTTCCTTCTGCAGATTTCTGTTTCACACATTACCAAAGTAAAGTACATAAAATTCCTGAGTTTGGATTATTCACTATTAACATTTTTTTAAATTTTATTATGCTGTGTTAGTCACCATACATCATTAGTTTCTGATGTAGTGATCCATGATTCATTGTTTTCATATAACACCCAGTGCTCCATGCAGTATGTGCCCTCCTTAATACCCATCACCGGGCTAACCCATCCCCCCACCCCCCTCCCCTCTAAAACCCTGTTTGTTTCTCAGAGTCCATAGTCTCTCATGGTTCATCTCTCCCTCCGATTTCTCCCCCTTCATTTTTCCCTTCCTTCTCCTAATGTCTCCATGCTATTCCTTATGTTCCACAAATAAGTGAAACCATATGATAATTGGCTTTCTCTGCTTGACTTATTTCACTTAGCATAATCTCCTCCAGTCCCATCCATGTTGATGTAAAAGTTGGGTATTCATCCTTTCTGATGGCTGAGTAATATTCCATTGTATATATGGACCACATCTTCTTCATTCATTCATCTGTTGAAGGGCATCTCAGCTCTTTCCACTATTAACATTTTAATCAGAATAAACACTTTAACAAGTTATCCAGTTGAGTAATCTATGTACAAAGTGTAATATTGACATCACTCTCTATGATACAATAATTAAAATGGATAAGAAATTGGAGATAAAGACAGATACATTCTCAAAGCAATGACAGGTCAAAGCGCTATAATGCAAACTTTAAAGTACTATAAGGAAAGGTATAAAGAAAAGGATATTTTGGTATTATATGAATCTCAGACATCCATCAACATTAGGTTAATTATCATGTTTCTGAAAGCTATCTTGAAGAGTTAGTGACACTGGACTCAACAAATTGTCAGCTCTAAGGCAGGTCTGATGACCATTTTCATCCAGCTACTTAGTACTGAAGAAGCATAGTTATATACCAACCAAATAGACAT